CTGCTTAACAAAAGTTTTGTGAATAGGGCCTACTTCGTAGAAAGGTAAAAAGTCATGAATATATATGCTGCATATTACCAAATCTATTTAAGGTTATTTCATGCATTCTGTTGGTATCGCAATCAATAAAACAAATATCAAATAAACAGCGTGTCTTTATTTGTACTCTCAGAAAATTAAAGCATTGTGAACACTTCACAGAATTGTTAAAAAAATTCAGCAAAGATAGGCCTATGCTTCCTATCTCTCCGCCTCTCACACACCTCCCCATGCATTGTTCCTGTGGGGGTACAGTCATTAAATTTCGGCTCCATTGGGAGGACACTTGGGGAGGCATGTGAGAGGCAGAGAGACTATTAAAGATTAGGCAGTTTTCCTTTCATGTACATCCGCCATATTTAGGTCGTGGCTTTGTAGAGCCATGGCTCAACTCAATGTGAATGTGGCCAAAGGCTGGGCTAGCCCCATGGCATACATGGCATGACAAACCGGGTGTGCAAACAAATGTATCTGAGAAACTTACAATAGCCAAGTTAGAAAATAATCAGTATGTGGAAATATATCTTTTGTAATTGCCTCAACTCAGGGGAAGTGGTTATACATTATTTAGAGCGTTGAGGCAGCACGATTTCCTTCAGTTAATTTTTAAGGTAACCCATCAATTATGGTGCAAAATTATGTACATGATGTCGCAATAAATTTATGCATGTGCTGAAATAATTTGACATCGAGTACATGTACATACCTTTGGTTCTTTTCTCCCATTTGTTGATATGAGCTCTATTTCTGGCATGCTTGTGACAGAGCCTCTTTTCAGGTATTTAGGGTCCTACAATGCACAAATAAATATGCTAAGACCTACTGCCAATCTCATTCTCATACTCTCTCACTCTCATACATACACACACATACATGCTAATGCACACACACACATACATGCTAATGCACGCATACACACACACACACACAATGCATGGTGTGTTTAATAAGATTTATTTTGCATGTATATTTTCCCTTCCTGAAATGAATGTTTTTCATAGATATGAAGTAAAAATACCACCGAGGAGGTAGAAAATGAGGCCAGAGGACTAAAGAGAGGTATTCAGGGCACTTTTCTTTTATCAAATATATTCTTGCGAAACATTTTTCTTGGAATGCGGACAAGAACCAAAATTAATAAACTCATATATTGGCAAATGCCAATGAGAGCACCTCAATCCAATGAAAAAGATAAGTGTCCATGACCTACAGTAACATATGAACTTCTGCTGGTAAATATGTTGTTTGGTGAATAGTGAATAAGCACTCCACACTATCTCAAGACATAATTGTTTTTTGTTTCTTCAATGTATAATAATATCTATATAAAGCACAACTATAGAGTATGCTTCAGTAGCATTTTTGTATTTATCTTTTGCAATGGCACAGTATATGTACTTCACCCTTGATGACATTATTGATTTTTTTGCAGTAGAAGTTCTTAAGAAGGCACACGTGCCAGTTCAGTTTCCAACTAATTTGATTTTTCTTTATAGTCACTGCCCCACAGCAAATAATAATGGCTTTTAAATGCTTGTCATTTGAAGCTTTTACACTTGCCTTATCGATGTTCAATGACTTTTCAATGTACCTCTGAAGCATGGTTGCTTAAACACCAAACCTTTACACTGTAACTATAAACTTGCATGTATATTTCTGCTTTTCACAGCCATTGGATTTTTTATGAAAACATGTAATTTAGTTGCTTTAATTTAAATACATATCTACATATGCTACAGCTTATATTATTTGTATTTGTACAATGCTGCTCCAACAGAGGTTTCCAACAAACTATGACAAATGGACCTGTCCAATCAAGTCACCAAAAGATCTATCTATTTTTGTCCATTTAAAAGACAGACAAGCAGTCATAATTACATAAAGCTGCTTGACCAGCTAGGGTGCTAACAAAAATCGGACTATATCATGGGGAAAATCTCTCTCTTTCTTTCTCTCTCTTTGCTTGCGTGTGTGCCTCCATGTGCCTCTGTGGCATAATGACCATATTCATGCAAATACTAGTATAAAAATAGATAAAAGCAAAAGGTGAAATGATCACTTTCATATATTATTCTCAAAAGGCTTTTTAAGCTATTTGATAGTGTTGCTGATATATTTGATCTAATTCTGCCCTTTTGGGTGTGTATTCATGGATACTAAAAATAACAGTAAGGATTCAAATTTGACACTAGTTTTTTATGTTTTTTTTTTTTTTACCTGTTCTTCAGCCACCTCTTCCTCAATAAGGTAGACACTACAACGCTCACATCTCAACAGTTCTTGGGCTTCTATCATGATCTTCTGTACAAGTTTTTCTAGACTTGATTGTTCTTCAAATATTCCCCGAGCCAGCTTTAACAACATCTAGAAATAAAATCATTCATAAGATGATTCAGATCTGTGTATAAGAAACTATTTCTAGCACAAAAATAAATTATTTTCATCATCTCCCACCCAAAATAAACAAGGCAGCAAAACTGTCAAACGTACAAACAAGAAAGAAAAATAATCCAATCAAGCTGGTATGCCAATTATTCTGGTAAGTTAATTATAAAATAATAAGTAACACAGTTTTCCTTTCACAGCATTTGTACAGGCAGTACACTAAATATTTTATCAATTTTGATGCAGGTGTTAGATAATGTTTGACAGCTTGTAAGCACCATTAATTTTAAATGATGCGCTGCAGGTAACATGGATATTTAGAGAATGTGACTTGCAAAGGTCTTCAGGCCCATGGAAATCTAAAGTCACACCTTAAAAATGCCAACCTGTACACAAGTACTAAAATGTTTTATTTTATTTTCAACACTTATTACATAATATACAATAACCAATTTACATTAATTTGAAATGATCACTGATGTGTTAAGAGAAGAAAAATATCAATAAAAATATTTTGAGTGTCCAATTTGCTCCATCCTTAGATTCTGAACATAGTGAGGGATTTAATCTAACAAACTGCACTGATCTGAGTTTATTTCCATTTTTGACACTATGTTATACAATATATGATAACAGATTTACCATCAATGGCCGATTTTCAAACTTGACCTGCATTTTATGAATATCCATTAGTTCTGTAAGTTTGAAGACAAAAGGTGACACAGTTTTCATGTTATTTTTATATTGGCGTATAAAATATGCTGAAAAAAGCAAAAAAAACCCATAACTTTTGGAAAAAAAGGTATAATCAGGCTGATTTTCGAACTTAACCTGTATTTTGTGAGTATCTATCAGTACTGTGAATTTGAAGACTAAAGGTTAAATGGTTTTCATGTTATTTATATAATACTAAAAGTGTATGGCTATGACGACGATGACAATGATGATGACGACAGACTCATGTATCAGCTATATGTACAGACACATCTGTGTCAGTACATAAAAATAAGAAAAAATAGCAATGAAAATATAAAAACCTAAAGTTTAAGATTTAAAAATAAAATGGTGAATAAGACAGAGTAATAAAAGATAATTGGAATAAAATTTGAAATGATTATGCAAAACGCAATCCTCACCAGATAAACCCACAAACTCACAATTTCACACCTAGGTGTTGAGATACTACATAGCCCTGTTTGTTTTATGGCATGTATTCATTGCCGTAAAGATTAGGGCAGGCATGGACTCTGACCTACTCCATGCGCCTAGCTGTGTGATTAGACCCAACCCACCAACTGTCTCCTCTACATCAGTGGCAGGTTGTTTAGGGGTGGGCGGGAGCAGGGTAGCAACACAAGCAACAGCTATAGAGAAAACTTCCACAAGAGATAGATAAGTCACTTGTGTAAAGTACTATATAAGATGGGTATTGACCGTACTTCCATTACTTTTCCCTTAACGCATAATTTCAATTTTACCTGATTCATCCATTTAAAAACTTACTAAAATGCATTTCTCATGGTGGGGGAGGGGGGGTACAAAAAACAAGAACTTGGCCTGAAAATACTGACAGTACACAAACCATCCTTCATAAAGTCTTGATATCATCAATTCATTCTTGGAAATTAAAAACATCTAAAGTGGTATTGCATGTTAACAGCACTCTTCATCAAATAATAGCTGCCAGTATAAATGCCTGGTGCATAATCAATACACCTGACAATTGATTCAACCAGACTGCAGTTCAGTCTGCCTCACAGGACTGCTGAGACCAGAAGTAATGACAGTTTGATATGATATTACATAATTAGAAAATGCTCTTTGTCATCAGTTCAATAAAGTTTTTTAAGTAGTTGCCAATGCTAGGGAAAAACATAAAAAAACCCAAAAATCCTTTTTATTTGGAAAACTAGCATAGCCGTTATGGAGAAGCGGAGGAGAAAACACCATTAAAAAAATAAAACATACATTTAACTCTTGATTAAATTTCCGCTGCATGTCAATTGCATATCTTTGTTAGCAGTTTTTCGGAAAAATTGTCTGCAATGAAAAATCAAACAAAACTGACAAAAACTACATGTTGTATAATTTTAGATGTCTTTTCTAATATTTTTATGGCATACATATATAATACTTTAAAGCAAACAAGTTGTAGCCTTTTTTACAAGTAAAACAATCCTCTACTGTGTGCAATATTTTTTATGATTAGTTGATCAAATTTTGAAAAAATCTACATTTCACAAATAAAAGATATTCAATTAAAGTCTAATTAAATGGTTTTCATGTGCACCAATCATTTTAAACCATTATTCATGTAAGTGCCACTTTATGTCTCAGCCCATCAAAATTACCTGAGATAATCTAAAACATTGCCACCGTTTGAATAACAAATAAAGAGATCACAGAACAGGAACACGGAGGTTAGCAATGTTTCAAACAGATCTGTAGACAAAACACATATTCATAGTCCCATTACCCCCGTGAGCCTGATCAATATTTCAAACATTAGCTTTGCAACATTATGCCAGCAATGGGAATACTGTTCAGTCCTAATCAATATGCACTGCTCTTCTATTAAGATCTGCATCAGTGCAGAATTTCAAAGAAAAATAGCTTCAACTATTCTAGTCTCAACCAAACTCCACTTCAAAGTCATATTCTTTTCCAACCGTGTTATAATTATTCTGCTGCATCTTTAGGTTATTCCTGTCATCTCGCAGCAATATAGCTAATCAATGACTATTGCCTTTGTGTCAGCCGCATGATCTCAGGTCTCTAAAGGCCAAAAATCAATGGAGAAGGACAATTTTGCATTTATGCTGTCTTGTTTGACTCAAAAGCTTGATGTACAAAAGCTTCCTGAGTATAAAACCAAAACTTATATCACACCACTTATATAGAAACCAATTTGAAACATAACCTTTAGGATTCTTTGGTTAGCTAAGTGATATCTTTGTTAAAGTTGACCAAAGCCAAATTATTATAGACTTAAGGACAGGAAACCAAATTTCACTGAAAATTGGCAATTGTGAATCAAATTTCTTTTTTTTCAAAGAGAAACTATATATTATCCCTCTTCTTTACAATTTGTCTCTGGTCTCGTGAGATCTTGGTAAGATGATTCCAATCGACTGTCCATTTTATCGCATCAGCTTTGTTCTTTTGGTTCCATTAAGCAATTTTTTTACCATTCTTATGTATTGGTTATTAATCTATTTCAGCAGAAATAGCCAATTTACAATGCACTCTATGCTTATCATTCAATACAGGATGTATCCATCTTTGATATACCACATACAGTAAATCTGTTAATGATTAGTGATTAAATTGTTAAATAACTAATCTTATTCAGAAGAACAATATATCACACAATAAAAGTTTTAGAGGTCAATAAAAAAAATGAACTCTTTCAAAGTATGATCACCAACAAACCACATTTAATGGGGAAGAAGCCTGGTTATTCCCAATGTTCTCTGATAGAAAATTCCTTTCAAAGACAGGATTAAGTCATTAATCAAGAACCAGACTTAAGTGATTTGTTCAGAAAATTACATGCAATCCTTTAAGCCCGTTTGTATTTTATTCAGTTGAAATACATTTCATCTTAACCAGCAAGCCAGCATGTATTTCTTTTTTCTACAACATAAAGCTTAACTCAATATTTTGAGCAAAAAAGCAATACAGATAAAACTAACCAACAGAACAAACAAGCACACAGTCAAGATCAAGTCAGGGGGGTCTTTCACCCCACCCCCCCACCCCTTTGATTTCTGAAAAAAATCACACCAATGGTCCTCTCTTGAAATTAGAATTTTGACTAAATGAATCATATTTCTAAACCATACCAAATGGCTTCGCATCTGTGGACCCCCCCTCCCCCCTTCAAATAATCCTGGATCTGTCCCTATTCACCATAAATTCTGCGAAAAAAAAAAAAAAAACAGATTGATCAGTGTGTTCTTTGAAATAAAAGCAATTCTAACTAATCTTCACATAGAGTAAAATGATATATCATGTCTTTTGGGAACTCAATCAGATACCTTTTTCCTGTTCAATTCTGCATAAAAATTCACTTAACATTTCAAACACTATCTCAAATGAAGGGCATAGCCTTTATTTAAATGGGATTACCTAGAATGGTGAACCTATCCAGAAGAACTTCAATACTGATGCATTTTTCCTTGACAGTCATTTAAAGCAAAATAGCAAGCAGACTGCTTGCCAGACCATTCAAGGCTCTGGACTTTCATAATTATCGCCATTTTTTTAAATGACACCTGCATTTGAACTGACAGTTCTTGCATAAAATTCAGTACCACATGATATTGCTATTTTAATATAGTTTCAGAACTCTTGTGCATTAAAAAGACAAGATTTATTTGTGACAATGGTTTCTATCATTGAGTTAATCTGTTCAAATGTTGGAAGTTGAATACTAGATACATATTAAGATAAGCTGTCTGATCTAAATAAGTTTTCCTTCCCTTATTTTGACAAACTCAATAAGAATTGTCTCATTTTTCAATGTGCTTGCTGATAAAAGAAAAAAAATCAATTATCTCAGAAGTGCGATAGGAGTATGACATATCGAGTGATAAAATCAATGAAGGGAAAACTAGTAATTTATAAAAGATATGAGTTCCAGGCAATGTTCATGCTTAATGGTGAAAGGCTGATGAAAAGTATAGGGCAGCAACATGCTACAAGGGTGTAATTCCACACATGGTTTAATAATTTAGTGTGTAAAAAGATGCATGGAATCTAGGACCCCATTCCCAGAGATTAGATCCATCCAAACTAGATCGACCTAACTCCCTGGGGGTTCACGCTAAATAGCTGTCAGCCGAGCGGGCACGAAAGTTAATTACCCCCTTTCAGCTTTTAGTAGGTGGGACGGACATTTAAGCCGGATTATCTGACAGTAATCTAGTGAGACTCCCCACGGGGATAGATTGATCTAAATGTCTGGGAATACGCCCTTGGTTTAGCTGCATCTTAAAAGACAGGCCATTGTTATGGGGATACTTATCTTAAGCTTATCAATATTGCTTGAAAAAATGCTTCTATCAAAATTCTACCCTTAATTCCATATTGCTGACTAAATA